GCTGTTGGGTTTAGAAAGTCTTTGTTGGTCACGAAAGTTGTGCAAAACCTTAAGGAAGGGAGGTTGTGGGGTTTATCGGAGGTGAGAAGTGGGTGGGGTGGGTTGTTGAGTGAGCGCAGTCTGGAAAAGCAGTGGTGGCTTGTTGCTGGGTTGGCTGAGGTGTTGGCGCTTGAGGTGCAGATTTTGAGTGATAAGGAGGTTGAAGAGTTGAGGGACCCTGTTACCTTAGCAGATGTTGTGCAGTTCTCTGGAGTGTTACGGGTGAGTGTCATTTTGAAATGGCACGAGTTCTTCTCTAACCATAGACCTTTGCAGAATGTGCTGTTCCATATGTATTGGACAAACACTGTAGATTTTACACCGCGCACATCAACTGCCATCCTTCCAAAGTATACATCTCAAATTACGGACACATTCACAATGCTTCTCGACCAACTCTACGCCCGCGACTCACGCCGATCTTTCTGCCCGCAAGGCCACTGGCAAATGATTTCTGACCTAGAAATGCAAACCTTCATTGAAAACGCAATCGCCGACCCCTCAATTGAAAACCCCGGCACAATCACAACCCCAACCCAAGTCAGACTCGTATCCTCCACTTCTCCCCGCCACCAAATCCTCACTAAAATGCCATACGTAATCCCCTTCGAAACGCGTGCGAAAATCTTCCGCGCCTGGATCTACGGCGATCGTATCGCATCTGGTCTCGATGACGCCCAATGGCTCCGCCCCCGCGCACGCGTCTCCATCCGTCGATCCCACATCTTCGAAGACGCTTACAAAACCCTCTCCCCACTCGGCCCCGCCCTCAAAAACCGTATCGCAATCACATTCGTATCAGCCCTCGACGGTGAAGTCGAAGCAGGTATCGACGGCGGCGGCGTCTTCAAAGAGTTCCTGAGTGAGCTCTTGCGTGAAGTGTTTGGCGAGAACCGTGTCCCTCTGTTCACAACCACACCGGATCACTTGATATACCCGGCCCCACTTTCTGACGATAAAATGCATTTACGGTATATGGAGTTCTTTGGTCGCGTGTTGGGAAAGGCGTTGTATGAGGGTGTATTGATTGACGCTGAATTCGCGGGCTTCTTTTTGAGTAAATGGTTGAACCGGCAGTCGTACCTAGACGACTTGCGGACTCTCGATGTAGAGTTGTATAACGGTCTCATGTTTCTCAAAACGTATCCGGGGGATGTGGAACGGGACTTGGCGTTGAATTTCACGGCTGTTGAGGAAGGGGGAAGGGTTGTTGAGATTGTTCCTGGCGGTGCTGGGATTCCTGTCACGAAGGAGAATCGGATCGCGTATATATATCGGATGGCGAATTATAAATTGAATGTGAGGATTGGGAGACCTTGTCGCGCGTTTTTTGAGGGGTTGAAGTAAGTATTACCGGTCTGAACCGGGGTGTCTGATTCTAATCAAATGTTCTTTAATAGCACATTAATCAACGCGAAATGGCTCAAAATATTCAACCAGGGCGAACTCCAACTGCTCCTCGGCGGTGCAACAACACCCATTGATCTGGAAGATCTAAAGCGAAACATCACATACGGCGGAGATTTCCACGAACTGCATCCTACGATTCGTCTGTTTTGGGATGTCGTTGAGTCAGAGGACGTGGGTGAAGAAGACAGACGCCTTCTCGTAAAGTTTGTCACATCATGTGCTCGACCGCCGTTGCTAGGATTTGGGGAATTGAAGCCTGGGTTTTGTATTAGGCCTAGCGGAGAGAGTGAGGATCGGTTACGTGAGTTGTTCTTTTCTTCTTGGTTCATTTGGTCCGTGAATTAACCCCATGATTTTAATAAGCTTCTGCGTCAACGTGTGTGAATATGCTGAAGTTACCGGAATACAAGACGAGGGAGGCGTTGCGGAGCAAGTTGTTGTATGCTGTACGAAGTAACGCTGGTTTTGAATTGAGTTGAATATCTATAAGCCTATACATACAAGAAAGTGAATGTCGAAACCATTAAAAAAAACCGGATTTAAAAAAGTTCATTTATGCTTGATTAGTGTTTGGAACCCTTTGAAACAGTGGCAGAATCTGGGCAACAATGACTGGCAAAAGGTGCACAACAGATGCTGATTGTACATATCTATTTAACATAATTTGGTTTTGTGCTAACTCCGATCTCCACAGCCACTCATCAAGAAAGAATCACTGAAATGTCCTCTGCACCTGCGATCATTCTAGCTACCGTGCTACTCATAATAGCATACATCCACTACCGCATCCAGTCCTTCTTGGAAACCAACAAGCTCCACTTCCTCAACGCCCCCGAATCTCTCATCACAACTCGAAACAAGTCCTCGCCCAATAAACCCGATTCCCCAGTCTACTTAGTCATTGGCGGATCAGGCAACCTCGGCAAACTGACAGTCCGCCAGCTTCTTGAACTCGGCCGAACAGTCCGAGTCTTTGACCTCCAGAATGCCTGGACACATGAGCCCCGTGTTGGTTTTATTCAAGGAGATATTACAAACCTTGGTGACGTTGAGAAAGCGTTGGAGGGTTCGGGTGATGTGACGCATGTGATTCATCATGCCAGTTTGGTTGTGATTGGGGCGTATGATCATGGGGTTTTGAAGAGAGTGAATATCGATGGAACGAGGAATGTTATGGAGGCGGTTTATAAGGTGCGTGTGGTTCGTTCAATGATTCTCGTTTTTGAATACGTCAGACGTCCTCGGTCATATCTGTCGTTTACACTTCGTCTGTCTGCCAATATGGATACAACTCGGACCCACAAATGGAAACCCTTCCTCCTCTCACAAAAGTGGAGCATTTTCATCCATATTTCCGCTCAAAGGTATGGTATTCAATTTTCACAGTCAGAACAACATTTAACTTTCTTCCCAAAAGGCTATTGCAGAAGATTATGTCCTCGCGTGTAACTCTCCTGCAGTTCGAACTGCTGCGATTAGAGCTGCGGCTGTTTTGGTGAGTGTTGGTAAAACGAAGAATTTCATTGCATGGAAACTCACAATCGGCAATAGGGACAGAATTTTGATATGATAAGACATATGATGGATCCTAATACACCGCTGCTTATGGTGAAAGGAAGCAAAGAAGGTTTTGTTCATTCTGAGGATTTGGCACGCGCACATATTCTTCTTGTGGACGCTCTTGCAGATCCTGATAAGTCTGAGAAATCCTCTGGAAAGCCGTATATGCAAGTATTTGTTTCGTATTAAACTTTGTTGACATATCACTTCGTCTGCAGGATTTCTGGTTGCTCAGATGTCGACAGTGTTTCACGAAAAACATTGTACACCGACATCTATCGCACACTTCATCCAGGAAAGAATCCGAAAATCATTGACAACTACTTCCTCATCAGATTAATCTCGACCATTGCGGATATTGGTCAGATTGCACAAGTCTTCGGAAAATCGCCTCTGGATTTTGGACAGATTATGAAGTTTCATCGAGGCAATTTGTATTACACTTTCATGGACGTTATTGTTCGGAAGGAGGAGAAAGCTGCATGGAAAAACTTTGGATATGAACCAGCGTTCACGGTTGCCACAGCCGTTGCAACCATGGCACCTAGGCCAAAGTCCATCTCTGAGGACTGATCTAAATGCTGCAGTATTTTTGTGTTTTGTTTAGTAAACTTTGTTTCCTCTTTCTCCATCATTGCATTCCACGTAGCACCTAATTACAGCTTTTCAATTGACCGCTCGAACTGATTTAACCTTTAATTTGATTCCTAATCAAAACGTGTAAAGCTGGTAGGTGATGCAAGCAACCCATCATCCAAAAAATGAGTTACAAATACCAACTTCTTGCTCTGGACCTAGATGGCACAACCCTGTCACCAGACGGAAGCATCTCACCACGAGTGCAATTAGCGGTAAAACGAGTGGTTGAAAGCGGCTGTCACGTGTCGCTGTGCACGGGCCGATCGACGGCAACAACTCTTCCAATCGAAACGCAGCTTGGTCTTTCGACGCCCCTTCCGCTTGTCACGTTCAACGGCGCCGTTGGAGTCGCCGCGGATCGAGTCGAACTCTTCCGCGAAACCCTGACTCAAAACCAGGTCGACGCTGCGCTTTCTGTCGCTGCCGCGCTCGATCTGGCCGTAAACTACTACGACGCAAATCTAATCAAATGCATCACTTCAAACGAGGCTCAGGCGGCGCTGGCGGAGCGGTACCGGAAACTGACAAACTGCGATTACGACTTTTCAATCACGTCGTTTGAAGGCCTTCCACTGCCTCCCAAACTGATTCTCTTGACACTCGATCCTGCGTCCCTAATGGCAGTGCTCAAGGAAAAGGTTCCAGGCGTGGGTCTCGTGCAAGACTCGTACTTTGTTGAATGTCTTCCTGCTGGCGTTACAAAGGGATTTGGATTTGAAAAGCTTTGTGTTGCTCTCAAAGTTCCACTCAAAAATACTGTTGCGTTTGGTGATGGTTTCAATGATGTCGAGTTTTTGCAAGCGGCTGGACTTGGTGTGGCAATGAAGAATGCACGAGATGTTCTCAAAGAAGCTGCTGATAAGGTGTCAGAGTTTACGAATGCAGAAGATGGCCTTGCCATTGAGTTGGAGAAAATGTTGGAGCAGGGTCTTTTCGGTACTACCCAATAAACTAGTCATCTACTTTATGAACGAATGCGTCACTTTGTGGTTCAACTATTATGAAATACTAAAAATTGTTAAATTGATGTAAGTATAATCATTATAAAGTGCTGACTTTATCACTAGACAGCGGCCTTATGGTCTAGTAGTATGATTCTCGCTTTGGGTGCGAGAGGTCCGGGGTTCAATTCCCCGTGAGGCCCGCTACAATGTTTTGAATAGTTTTAGAAGAGCAGGGTGTGTGGTTGGTGATGAATGCGCATAATGCGTAGCTCACGTCCTCAGTCAGTATTATCAGAGCCTCATTTGTTCAATTCACATCTTATTGCCATGCCTTTGTTCACTGCAAACCAGTAGGAATCAAAGTGAAACACTTTTGAAACAAAATTCATAGTTACGCGAAGCAAAACATGCCTTCTACCAGATTTGAACTGGTGGCCTCCTGCTTACTAGGCAGGCGATCTAACCAACTGAGCTAAGAAGGCAGCTGGAAGCTGAGCGAAAACTGCCGATAGGAAAGCAATACCACAATCATCCAACTCAGAACATTTTACTTCACGCTTTGCAAGGAATTGCACACATGATTTACCAAGGAGCGTTTGTCCCTTTCTTGAACACAAGGTGTTGGAATTGAAGTCAGTGTAGTGACAGAGGTGTCACTTCACAGATTGTAAGGCAGGCAATCTAACCACTTATTCTTTTGTATTTTCATATTAATATTTTAAACGTTATTATAATAAACCTCATCTTTAATTCTAATCCCTGTTTTAAAATATAGAGGAAACGTATAGTGCAAAGCACAGCAAAGTCAAGTTCTCTGGCCATGGCAAAAGTCTTGTAAACCTTTCAACATACCTTATTTACGCCGATGGCTAGAACACTTTCAGGAACACTGTCAGCTTGTTGCAGTTTGTATGGCTAAACTAACTGTTAGTCGAGGGGTTGTATAAATGTATAATAAATACATCCTCTCTTTAGCTAACTCCGACGCTCCTCTGCTCTGTTTCTTTATCTGTTTTTTGTGTAAAAGATTTACACTGTTAACAATTTCTTTCGGCAGAACCGGGATACTTACTTGAAAACTCATGTCAAACGAAACAAACTCCGCCACGTTGGTTCCAACACCAACCCCTGTGACTATTTTCATCACCGGCGCGTACTGTCAGCTAAGCCTTGTTGGAATCTTTGTAGCAAGTTGAGGTTTTTTCTCCCCTGCTTTCTTTGTTTTTTTCCCAAGATGTAATGAGATTGACAACCCACGATTCCAGCTCCAAGGATCCTCGCTGTTCTTCGCGAAAAGAAGGGTTCACTGTTTCTGTTGATTGTTTTGAACGGTTTCAATTGTGCTGTTGTTTTGAACGCGGTTGGGACGATGTGGGTTCTGTCTGCTTCTGAAAAATCTTGTGCGGCGGCAAACGTTTTGCAGTCTTTTGGGTTTCATACGTTTATGATTTTATTTGGTTAGTATTGCCTAGTGGCTGGAACTGGCGCTCACGAACCACTGCAGATTTTTTTATGCTATACAAATCGTGGGCGGTTACGGAATTTAACGCTTTCTATGGGGGAATTTCGGCCCTTCTAACATTGTATCGTTTTGTTTGGGCCGTAATCGACATGTGTTGGTCACAAGGGCAATGGAACCAAAATAACTGCTGGGTCTTTGTGAATCCCACTTCAAATTTGCAATATACTCTTGCTGATGTTTTGACTGATAGTGTTGCAACTATTGGCGCTGTTGTGATGTTTGTCAAGAACTATGGAAACATACAGATGTTGGAAGGCCAGTCTTTATGGTTTCTTATTGCCAGAGAGAATGTTTTAAGAACGACGATTATTTTATCAATGGATCTGTATTACTTGTACACCATATTCGTGCCCTTAGGTGTGAGTGAATGGATGATATTGAGTGCTGCGCAGAATTTGGTGTATTCTGCTTTGATGAATGTCGAACTGGTTTGGAGTGAGTTTTGCTTTGGGGTCATCACCTTCAACCCTCACCGACCGTTCCACAGAAGACGTAAGAGACAGTCAAAGCAGTCAAAACAGCCGATTGAAACGATTCTCTTCCGCAACCCAATATTCGGGAGATCTCAACACCGTTATTCCAAAGTCAAAATCCGAAACACGACTTTCGGTTCTACAAACCATCACCATAAACACATCTCAAACTCTATAGATACATTATACAGTTTTTAATAAGTACTCCAAAAAATCAACTCAACTTCCGAAATAAAAACTCAATCGGATTTTTCTTGTCTTTACATACCATCACAACATCACCTTCCAGAAGTTCATGTTGCTTCCCTTTCCCAACCTTGACGCCATTCACCCACGTTCCATTCGCACTTAGGTCTTCCACGACTACGGTCTTGTCCTCTTTCTGGAATATCTTGCAGTGCATTGAACTGATCCATTGGTGATCCAAGATGATGGAGCATTCGGGAAGGCGGCCGATCGTTATTACGCGTATCAGTGGGTTCGTTTTGCGTTCCATGAAGAAGTCCTTTGTTTTGGGTTCCAAATCAAAGGATGGGCTTGGAGCAGGAGATGGACCTGGAGTGTTAACGGTCCTGGGTTTCTTGGGAAGTGGCTGTTTAAATATTGGTGTTGGTGGAGCTGTTGTGGAACTTGGAACCGTTGAAGAGTGTGTGCTGTCAGCAACAATCGTTGTAGGAGAACTGTCGACATCTATATTCCGCTTATTTCCCTGAACAGTGACAGGAAGTGAAGATGGCCCAAGTTTGAACTGTACTATCACTGCAGGGCGATCGGCATTTGGAGGAGCCAATTCAATCATGTCTCCATCGCGTATCTTTGTGGGACCAGTCACGAGAGTCGCATTTACTCTCGTTTTTTGTTTGCTGGTCACTGTTAAAGTTGGTCGATCTTTGGAGTCTGCGAATGAAATAGAGCAGTGGTTGTTTGAAATTCGAAGGTCGGTGAGAATGATATCGCTGGCTGTGAGATAGAATAAGTTCATATTGACAATCCAAGTAGCCGTTTCGGTACTCACTTCCAGACCTGCCTATCTTGGTTATAACTGATTTCAATTCGAAAATGTCTTGCTTTTCTCCTTGCAACACCAAATGAGCATAGACGCGATTAAACCATGCGTGCGCTTCAATGTCTTCCAGTTTAATTCGTTGCGCAGGATCCAGTGCCATCAATTGGCGAATCAAATCTTTTGCTGAGGGTGAAACGGTTGCCCACGAAGGAGCGCTCCAATCTACGTCACCGTTCTTGACTTTCTGGTATAACTCAGGCTCACTTTGAGCGTTCTGGTAAGGTGTGTCTCCGCAAGACAGCAAGAAAAAGAGAATCACACCAATGCTATAGACGTCCACGCGGCTGTCATACGGTTTCCCAAGTATCACTTCAGGCGCCAAGTACGCTGGTGTCCCACACATTGTATTGAGTGCGTTTCCAGCCGAAGTTCCTTTTGCGATTCCAAAGTCGGCGAGTTTCAAAACATCACCGTCGGCGACAAGAAAATTGTCCGGTTTTAAATCGCGATGCGTTATTCCTTTTGTTTTGAGATACTGGTGGAGCTTTTAAGCGAATGGTACTGTTCAAAGCAGGTTTACCTTCAAGACGTGCACCATTTGCAAGAACAGTCCACGCACTGTCTCCTCATCCAACGGTCCTCTCGACTTCAACAACTTCAAAAGGTCTCCACCAGGTAAAAGCTCCATCACAATGCGCAATTTATCACCTTCATCAAACGCTTCCTCAAACCCAACAATATTCACATGCGGCTGCACTTTCGCCAAAATTTCAACCTCACGATCCAGCGCCGCAAGAACTTTACTTTGAAACATGAATTTGGTTTTATCGATAATCTTGACTGCAAACTTCTTCCCCGTTTCTTTCTGAATCGCGAGATGGACGATTGAAAAGTTCCCGCGGCCCACGAATTGCTGGGTATCGTACTTTTTCTCGTATTCTGTTTGTGGGACAATATCGTTTGATGAGCCAGTCACTTGATGGAACATGAGCTTTGATTTCGCTTGGCCAAGTGTTATCACAGCTCCATGTGTAAGGAGAGTCCGCTTGCCAGTTCCAAGCAGTTTCCCATCAATGTACTATTCGTAAGAGTTAGCAAGGACTCGGTGGTGGTTAGGTATACGTACAGTTCCATTCACTGAGAGATCTTCAATCATAACGCATTCCCCTTCATTCAGAACTCTGTAAATACGCAGGTGCTATAGCTGAATCAGTTTAATGATACAGAGACCAGCGGCAAATACCTTCTTTGAGATACTTGTTCCCGCAACCTCAACATCAGACCCAGAGCCTTCCCGCCCAACAACGATCTCTGGCTTACTACTGTCCAACGGTATCGGTGCGCTTCCATCAAGAAAGATTAAACGCCCCCAGAGCTGTGACTCGTCTTCCTCTTCAACGAATGCTTCAACTGGTTGTGTTGCGTCATCCATTCCAAAAATCGATAAATAAAGAGTAAAAAGGGAGGACATAAGCATTGAAATAGATACCTGGAACTCGCATCTAAAACAGTTTCCATTGTTCGGTTTGTTTTTAACATGGTAATGTTGATGAGCTGCTTCCTCACCAGCGTTTATGTTCCGCACCCATCTACGAATGCTTTCTAATAAAGACAAGCTACGGTATGAGAATCTTTTTCCTTTTCAGTCGGACACAATAACCCAATGGATTTGAATAAATTCTACGCTCCTTCGCCTTAACTCCAGATCCCCTCTTTCCAAACAGCATAAAACTCGGATTTATCCAAATTGTAGCAAAACATGCCTTCCACCAATTTAACTGGTGGCGAGTTGCTAACACGATCTAACCAATTGAGCAAAGATGGCACTCCTTGTTTATACATAATATAATATTCTTCAAAGGTGTTAGTGTGGAGGAGCTTGTATGAATTCTTCTTCGTTCAAAAACTTAATGTGTTCTAATTCTTTCCTACGAAGAACATAAATTTTAAGTAGGCAAGAATACTCGTCCTTTAATTCTAAATCATATTTGAACAGTTGTAAAACATAGAGAGAGTGTATAGCACAAGAGTCACAAAACTATACCAGCAGTTCCTGTAGCTAAATTTAGCAAGTGATTCCACAGATGGACTTCACTTCTCCAACACAAACACTGTCCCAAGAAGTAGAACCACAGTAGCTGTCCTGAGCAATAATTTGACCAACACAAGAGTCACAAGAGGATCTCAAAGCAACACCAGTCACACACTTGCTATGGGCACAAGTGGTAGCGGCAGTAGTGGTCTTGACAGCGGCAGTTGTCGTCTTGACAACAGCAGCAGTGGTGGTAGTCTTCTTAACAACAGCAGTGGTAGTAGTCTTAGGCTTTGGACCACTCGCCACACAAGAGTTAGCAGAGTTGGACCAGATTGTCTGAACGACATAAGTAACTCCGTCACCACCAACAGTAGTTCCTTGCTGAGCGTTACAGATGTCTCCAATCTCACCGTTGGTGTTGTCGTACCAGGCAAGAGGCGATCCAG